AAAAAAAAAAAGATTAATATAGGTTTCGAAAGGCACTTTTCACTGTTATAAGAACTTAAGCACGTGTACTGGATAATGAAGCTTTAAGGTTAAATGTACTTTATGTAGTCTTGTTCAAAGATATCATTACTTATTTTTGTGTCAACAGGCTAATGTACACAATCCTAATTTAAATGAGTACTTGATTCTTGCAAAATAATATCTTACATTCTTTTTATCTTTCTGATATTGTTGCATCCTAACATTGTAAACAATCCAAAATTACGATACAATTTGAAAGAGTTACAGGAAACATAGTTGCAATGCTTAGATACATCATACAAGGTTCTGCTCTCTTTTCTGATAAGAGGACTTCATGCTTGGAAGGCTTAGATAAAAAGAGGAAGGCTGATAAATCTTATGTGATTGCAAGCTTGTAACAATTTGTATCATCATTAATTAAACTATAATTGAACTAATTTTTATCATATAAATTATAATCATTCATTACGAGTAAGGATCATACATCCTTGTTCCTAAATGATCGAAACCATGGTTTTCGGTCTGCCTTATGGCATATAGATTCACAAATTCATTAAAGGACACTACTATGATATGTCTTCTAGAAAATTAGTTGGTAGCTTTGTTACCTACTTAAGTTGTAAGCCGCAGGATATGTGCAATTGAATTTTATTTCACTTCCTTGTAGTTCGTCCAGTCATTATGTTATAAATCTTGCCACGGTAAATTCCCTTTTATAGGAAATATACAGCATAAAACTTCCTGGTCCGCCACACATTGGAGAAGGGAAGCCTGAAAATCAAAATCATGCCATAATTTTCACACGTGGTGAAGCTCTTCAAACAGTTGATATGAACCAGGTAGGTTTCCCTCGATTAACGCGTCTGATAGTTCCCATGCTTGTTCTTATGGTGTGTGCGCGCTTCACCAGGATAACTATTTGGAAGAGGCGCTGAAGATGAGAAATCTTCTTCAAGAATTTTTTCAACCCAAAGTACGGAAGCCTCCTGCAATACTGGGTTTAAGGGAGCACATATTCACTGGAAGGTCAGATTAACTGCATTGATCAAATCATGACACAGCAACACTCGTCAGAAAGTAAAAACTGGTGTGATCAATAAAATTTGAAATATATGAGGGGATTGCTAAAAATAGAACTTACTTTAAATGTTAATAATTTCAGTGCTGGTCTCAACCATTGATGACACCAGCATGCATATAAAAGCCAATAATTCTCAACAAATTTTTCAAATAGTTGACTTATTGTAATTCGTATTTGAATTCATTTTGATGTGAGTGTGAGTATTTGAAACAGTATACAGATTTGCTTTTGTTACTTTCCATTTATCTGATACTTAATGATTATAGTAATGAGTGATAACCAGATAGATATTATTCTGTACATAATTTGTTTTATCTTCTAAAGATGGAAGATCTTTTCCATGAAGGAAATGCATACCATGGTTGTGATAATTATACATCGTTAAATAAGCTGTGTTTCTGTTTATCCTGAATTGCAGCGTTTCTTCCTTAGCATGGTTCATGTCATATCAAGAGACGAGCTTTGTCACAATTGGTCAGAGAATTCTTGCCAATCCTCTCAGGTAAATGCATGTTGGTCCTGTGTTCTTATTAGCCAAGATAGGGCAATAAACGGGGGTTGAGCTTCATGTAGTGGCCCCTCCCTCCTCTCTCCTGGCACTAATCATTCAGATTGGTGATTAACAATAAATGCAAAACAGCGAATCGGAAAGCAATAGTCATGTTTTTGTCTTTTCATGTGCTAACAGTGCATGGCTCTTGCTTTTATTACCTCTTTTCCAGTCAAGTTCTTTGACACTATTTTTTTTTTCCTTGAATGAAGTTCTTCGACACTATTGAATGACTAGTCCAGCCTTTTCCTATTATTTCCTGATTTTTTCAAAACTATTTTTGAATGTTTTCTTCAGGGTACGATTTCACTACGGACACCCAGATGTATTTGACAGGGTGTTTCACATTACGAGAGGTGGCATCAGCAAAGCATCAAAAACCATTAACTTGAGCGAAGATGTTTATGCTGGTAAGAATAAGTGGCTCGATTCTGTCCATACTGTTGAACATTGCTGATATGTGAACACTTCTTATGGATAGGATTTAACTCTACATTACGTCGGGGATATATTACATACCATGAGTACATGCAAATAGGAAAAGGCCGTGACGTAGGGCTGAATCAGATCTCCAAGTTTGAAGCTAAGATAGCAAATGGAAATAGTGAACAAACTCTAAGCCGAGACATTTATCGCCTTGGGCAACGATTTGATTTCTTCAGGATGCTATCTTGTTATTACACTACAATTGGATATTATTTCAGTAGCTTGGTAATGTAACTCTCTTTATTGCATATTTACTGTATTAGTACCATGTCATGTCACTGATTAGTTTCGTAAACTGTCTGCCAATTCACTGCGCACAGATATCAGTACTTGGAATTTATGTTTTCCTCTACGGACAACTATATCTTGTTCTTAGTGGGTTGGAAAAAGCTCTTCTCCTTGAAGCTAGAATGCAGAACGTCCGATCTCTGGAAACAGCTCTTGCTTCACAGTCATTTATACAGCTTGGGCTCCTTACAGGCTTACCTATGGTCATGGAAATTGGACTTGAAAGAGGATTTCTTACAGCGCTCAAAGATTTTGTCCTCATGCAGTTGCAGTTGGCGGTTGTTTTCTTTACTTTTTCACTTGGAACAAAAACTCATTACTTTGGCCGCACAATACTTCATGGGGGTGCAAAGTACAGACCTACTGGGCGTAAGGTAGTGGTCTTTTATGCCAGTTTCACTGAAAACTACAGATTGTATTCAAGAAGCCACTTCGTTAAAGGATTCGAGCTACTGCTTCTGTTGACTGTCTACGATTTGTTCAGAAGATCTTACCAGAGCAGCATGGCATATATGCTGATCACTTACTCCATTTGGTTCATGTCAATCACTTGGTTATTTGCACCATTTTTATTCAATCCCTCTGGATTCAGTTGGGGCAAGATAGTAGATGACTGGAAAGAATGGAATAAGTGGATTAAGCAGCAAGGTGGTATAGGAGTTCAGCAGGACAAAAGTTGGCAGTCTTGGTGGGATGAAGAACAAGCCCACCTTCGTCATTCAGGACTTGTTTCCAGGTTGATTGAAGTATTTCTCTCATTAAGGTTCTTCATGTATCAGTACGGGCTCGTTTATCACCTTGACATTTCCCAGCATAGCAGAAATTTACTGGTTTATGTGCTTTCTTGGGCTGTGATTGCTGCAATTTTCTTACTGGTCAAGGTAAGTTCTCCAACTTTCTTAAATTTTAAATTATCTTTGCAGCCTCCATCCTTTCCTTCAGCATCTGAAGTTAAATATTTTCAGAAAAATGGTAGGAGCGTTCATGACCCATTACTGTATCATAGAAACGGAAAAGTACAACAGATGCTTTCATCTTGTGACCTTTCAGGAATAGTTAATATCTTTTTTTCAGCATTTCAAAACCTATAGCTTTAAGTGATTTGCCCTCTAATGCAGCTTTATGATCGATGCAAAAATCTGGACAAGGATTGTGTGGATCCTATGGCCTATGGGATATAGCATTAGTAAAAAATAGTTCTTTTTTTAGCATCTATTCAAGAAAAAAGTTGTCTGTTTGGGTCAATGACATTGACATGATATAAATGCTGCAAATACAGGCAGTAAACCTGGGGAGGCAGCAGTTCAGTGCCAACTATCATTTTTTATTCAGACTATTCAAAGCATTTCTCTTCCTCGGCGTTCTATCCGTAATTATTTCTCTATCCGTCGTCTGTGAATTATCTCTGAAGGACATGGTCATCTGCTCTCTGGCCTTCCTACCAACTGGATGGGGATTGATTTTGGTAAGGTTGAACGTTCCTTTTCCCCTTCCCTTCCATTCTCTCTCTGGTTTCTTCTGAGTTTTGACCGTTACTCTTGTTGTTTTAGTTTGCACAAACTGTGAGGCCAAAAATAGAGCACACTTGGCTGTGGGACTTCACCAGGGTTCTTGCCAAATCATACGACTACGGTATGGGCGTCGTTCTCTTTGCACCTGTGGCTACTCTGGCATGGCTTCCAAATATATCAGACTTCCAGACTCGTTTCCTCTTCAACGAGGCGTTCAACAGGCACTTGCATATCCAACCAATTATTGCTGGCAAACAGAAGCACAAGTGATGATCATTTGAGTGACTGATTGTGTTTAAGTACATATTGTATAGTCATAATGGTGATAAATCCTCCCACACAGAAATTTTAACACTTTAGAAATTTATGTAGTTGGTAGTGAGTCAAGATGGGATATAGGAATACAAAGTTTAGATGTCAATGATTTGAATAGAGGATCAGTATATTAAATTGTACCATAAAGCATAGATTCATGTTTCATAAAATTCCATAATAATGTTCTTTAAAGTGGCTTCAAACAATTCTTTGTTGTGCTCCATCATCTCATGGATGAGATGTCAAATATTTGCTCAATCCTCTTCAATACTCTTTGGTGATGTAGTCAATTGATACCATGGAGTACCAATATAGGCAAACATAAATTTTTGACATTCAAAACACCCTACTTTTAATTTCAATGACGTTTTTTCTTAATAGTAGAAAAAGCACATTATTGAAAGGAAAAGGTAAAACATAAATTTGGTTTTTTTTAATAAATACTAGAAAAGAATTAAATGAATACTATACTCACTCGAGTAGACATATTAGGGTAACGTATGTAATCAAATGGTCATTAGAGCTCGAAACAAAACAAATAAAGGTTCTTTAAAAGTTTTTTTTATTCACAACCTCTTTGTTGGTAATATATTTAATATAGCGGTTACGATCTCTTTCCAAAAAAAATGATGATTACTATGATTGATCACCATCAGATTTGAACTTAATATCCCAAAAAAAAATTTTCATCAGGATTAAGGGTGTGTGTTTCCAAAATCACTTTTATTATTGTCAAAATCACTTATCTTCCCATGTTTGACAAATTAAAAAACTGATTTTAGGAGAGTTGAAAATGATTGATTTTTAAAATATCACTTATGTGATTTTGAAAAATCAATTATATTTATTATTTTTTTTTTCAAAATAACTCATCTTATCATTACTCCCTGACACACTCTAACTCAAACAAATTATTATAYGTGGTTCAAGAATTTTAATAAGCCAGCTTATTTACTAAATGCAAAAGAAATATACCAATACAAATAAACCACGTAAGAAATTCAATACAAACTTATACAAACAAACTTAAACATAATTCGTGAAAACGAGCCTAAYTTAACGATAATTGACGTTACCTTCCATGATGAAGTCGTGAGTCCGAAAGTAAAGAAATGGTTCCTTTTTATTATATTCAGCAAACAACTTGCTTTTGGTTGGAAGCAATTGTGAGCAGTTGTGTGCGTCTCCTCCTTCTGTGTTCTCCAATGATCCCACGGCGCCCTCGCATTTCTCTGCTAAGCTCCATTTTCTCTCCAACTCGTTCGATTCCTCTTCGTCTTCATTCTTCTTCTTCTTCTTCTTCTTTCTCCACTTCTCCTTCCCCAGATAGACTCAGCCTCAGAGACTGGTTGTCTCCCAATGAAGTCATTACAATCATCCAACGCATCACTGATCCCCCCTCTGTGCTTGAATTCCTCCACCGCTGGTCCAATCGCAAGGACTATAAACCCAACGAAGCAATCTACATTCTCATTGTGTCCAAACTTGCCGAGGGGCGCTTGTTTGATGCCATAGACAACCTGATGCTGAGAATCAAAGCCCAGAAGAATTGCCGCTTGTCCGATGCTTTCTTCTTCCACGTTATCAAGATTTATGGCAATGTTGCTGGCCGAATCAGCAAGGCGATCGAAACCCTTTTCGATATGCCCAATTATAACTGCTGGCCCAGCGTCAAAACCTTCAATTATGTGCTCAATTTGCTCGTTTCGGCCAAGCTGTTTGACGTTGTCCATGAGGTTTATATGGGTGCTCCCAAGTTGGGGATTGAGATTGATGCTTGTTGTCTTAATATACTCGTTAAAGGGTTGTGCGAGAGTGGGAATGTGGATGCTGCACTCAAGGTGCTCGACGAATTTCCCCAACAGAGGTGTAGGCCGAATGTGAGGACATTTTCAACTCTCATACATGGATTGTGCGAGAATGGGGAACTGGAGAGAGCAGCTCAGCTTTTCTCCAAAATGGAAAACGAGGGTGTTTGCCCAGATACCATAACGTTTAACATATTGATCTCGGGTCTTAGAAAGCACAAGAGGATTGAAGAGGCAATAGAACTTTTGGAGAGGATGAAGCTTAAAGGTTGCTACCCAAATGCGGGGACTTATCAAGAGGTTTTGTATGGCCTGCTAGATACGAGTAAGTTTGTGGAGGCAAGGGATTGTATGCGTCGGATGATTTTGGATGGAATGGACCCAAGTTTTGTTTCTTACAAGAAGTTGATATCTGGGTTGTGTAAGAAGAATCTAACTGAGGATGTGGATTGGGTTCTAAGGCAGATGGTTATGCAAGGTTTCGCCCCAAAAATGGGGATGTGGAAACTGATTTTACGTTGTATGTTATCAGGAAATGAAGATTACATCGGTATCACTGGCAAAGCATTTGAAGATATTTTGTTGCTTACAATGGAAGATGGTGTGATGCAATGACGTTCCTCAACTTCCTCTGGCCATATCTGTAGCAGCCACGGTGCAGTTCCGACTGGTATCCGCCTGAGACTCGTTTGATAACTAATGAACTGAAATGGCTGATTAACACTTCCCAACTTAGCTTAAGCTAAAACTGGATAGAAAAAAGCAGTTCTCTTCTGCTGCGGGCTACAGAATTGAAGATTATTAATAATTCTTTCCCAAAAGACTTGCTTTGCAAGGTTGGAGGCCTGCGCTTCAGGAAGAGATTCTCACTTCGCTGTGAGGTGTGAAAAGTGACAGTTCAGTGACCAGAATAAGGAGGAAGGAAGAGGGGAGCAGCCCAATGACTCAATTTCAAGACAGATTTGAGTTATTTTCTGATAGCAGACAAATTTCGACGGTTTAACTAGGAAAATTTATTATTTTATTTATTGTAGAAATCTTCACAAGTAACTTCTTAGTTTATATAAACTTTGAATGTTTACAAACGAAACCCCCTATCTATACAGGAATTCAGTTCACAAATTCTCAAACTTCTACACGTTTTTCATATCCGTTTTACCTACACACAACCATCTTTCAAACCAAAGAAATTGCAACTTTCTTCCATCTTCCAAATTTGATTCAACAAGTACAGGTTTTTTAAGCTTCGATCATTTGGTGTCATTGTTGATTGCAGGTTTATCATCTTCGTCATCTTCAATCCTCTCCAAGCGTGCAGTGGTAATCTTATCTGCTGAGTTACCATTGTCACTTGAAGCAGTGGGCAGCACATTTTCTTGCTTCACATTTTCTTTAAAGGAATTGCTGCGAGAAGCTCGGGCTGTGGCTTCAGAGACAACTGGAACTCCCACAATTGTAGTTGGGCTGCTAGCAACTGGTGTATCAGGTTCTTCAGAAGATTCTGATTCCACTGAAGCATCTCTCTCATTTATTCCTAATGAATCACTTTGGAATTTCCTCGACCCTTTGCGGGAAAAAGCATATTTAATACTGCGTGCAGATTTCTCGGCCTGTCTGAAAAGACTTTTCGCCATGTCTTTCACATTACCACCCTTTCCCGGACTTTCTGAATCGCTACCATCGTTGTTCACTTTCCCTTCCTTCAGTACCTTCTCAGAAGTAGTCCCGGAAATGCTATCTACAAGAATAACCCTCACACCTCCCTCCTTGGCATTTGCAGCCCTAACATTGGCATATTGGGGGGATTTAACAGGCTCCTCTAAGCTTCCTGATCGATCCTCGTCCCGAGGACTCCGGTGGAAAACTGAACTCAGCTTTCTTAGTCCCTTACGAACTGATAACTTTCGATGTTTTTCCTCAGGATTGTCATCAGTGCTGCTCGAATCATTATTTAAGGATCCATGTCCTGAGGTATTGCCACTGCATATGGATTCGTTAGGCTCCCCGTGGATTTCAGTATCAAGTCGACGACTCCTCCCCTTCCGAGGCTCCCAAGTTTTTGAAACTTCGGTTCCTGGACGGTGGACCCATATTCCTGTCTCCTTTTGCCCTTCAACGTCGATGGCTTCRTAATCATCAGTCGCTTTTTGAGACTTCACTGATACAGTTGAGGACGAATCCTTATCATCCTTAAACTCACTTCCAGTTCCAGTGGAATCCTTCCTTGGCTCATCCACATTCAAGGCTTCTTTGGGAGAAGGATACTCCTCCACCTTAAGCAATGTAACATATCAAAAAACAACCTTTCTCAGTTGAAGTGTTTCCTAGGAAATCATTTTATAGAACACCAACAGGGCAAAACAAAAACAAAAAAAGAAAAAAAGGAAACATGGAAGGGAAGGGGAAGAACAGAACCTTCTTTTTGTCTTCAAAAACAGTGATTACAAGGTGCAATCGCCCTGTTTTAATGTTTTCGAGAGGCAACCATATATCATGTCGATTGCCATCCCTCATGTCTGAGATGCTGAGGGAACAGTTTCTGCAAATAGAATAGTAGAATAGATCACACACAGAGAGGGAGATAGATGAAACTGAAGACATAAGAACTATGTCAAACTAAGAGCGTGTGATGCCGATCAAAACTTAGCAACAAACCCGAGAATGTCGTCAATAAACGTGTCCTTGTCGCGGACTTCAATATTGAGCACATTCTCTGATTCCCATGTAACAATGGGGATCTTGAATTCCTCGCGCCATTGTGGAGACAGTGTTTTCTTTTGAATCTTGGTTCTGAATCTGTAAGGACCCAGTTGACCTTTTACATACGGATCAGCCAGACCTGAAAGAAAAGGTTGAATTTGTAAGCCAAATTCACAAGTCAAGTCATGTAACATAATCATGAGAATTATGATCAACAATAATTGGAAAAATCTCGGAAGAACCATTTAGATCAGATGGTTTCATGTCTGATCCTTCAACAACTTCGACTACGACAAAGCCAATGGGTTCCTTCACGTTTACGGAGAACCAATTTTCTGGAAACACGGAAATATAAGTAGTCACTTGACGAAATTCTGGAAGCCCAATAAATAACATGCTACATGATAAGGTTGTTTCATATTCAGGAACTCAAAATAAAGCAGGCAATGGAATAACATGCCAACCGTTTTGCTTTTGTATATCAAAAAATCTTCATAAAATTCAATACAGCGCCTCGTTTTGCATACAGGAATTTTCAAAAACCAGCAAACCTTGGCACTTCTAGACATCTTCACTATAATATGTGAAACTATATTCGCACATTTTCTGCCATAACTACGATAGTTCACTGAAGATTAGCGTTTAATATATCAAACTACCATATATTGTAAATATTAATTGTTTCTAGTAACTGCAAGATTACTATATAAACTGTCAAATTCGCAGCCAAGCCCGTTTAAACCCTTCCGGGGAAGGAGAATTATTGTGAAGCATGTGCAATGATGGAATTCTTTCAATTCGCTACAACTTTTCATTGACCAGAGTTGTAAGTTGTATGGTGTTTAGAATTAAGTACCTGGCTGTGGTGAAATGAACTTCTCCATGTCCACAACCAGCATATTGGGCTGCAAAGATTAAGATGATTCAGAACTTGGTAAATGTTGCTAAAGAAAAAATCAGTAATGACATGAAATCTGAACACGGTTCGCGTCTTGAAAGAAGTTTAATACAAAACTAAGAATGAAGACATGATCAGGTATCAAATTCTTGAACTTAACCTCAACAAGTGTCTGCTCAAAGGCTATGGACAAAAGCTTATCCTGAAAAAAAGAAACCGGAAAAGAATTAAGATGGTACTTAGCCTGAGAACGAGAAGGTAAGCAATCAAGCACAGTTTTTCCAGCACGAAATAAAACTGGGGGAAAAGAAAGGGGAGATAATAAAGGTAAAAGAGTTTAAATAAGAGATGTACAATACCAGCCATCCAGCAATTCCTGGAAGTTCTGTAACATCAAGACCATGTGTAAAGATAGGCTTGACAGTCATCTGAAAATATGGAGGCTCAGCAAAACATAACCGGACGCGGCCGAGATATGGCCAATCTCGGAGGAACTTAACACCAACCAGGACCTTGAGAGGTAAAATGAACAGTTATGGAAATCAAAAGAAAATACAAAGCTTGTTCAAGCACTCCCCCAACCCCCACCAATGACACAAAAGATACAATGTCTAGTCAGTACATTCATTTGTGTTGATCTGTATCGGGAAAGAACACGACTAAAGACGAGGAAACTGAAAAGGATATAAGAAAAGTCTTCAGACATTACCAAAATTCTTCTTGCTCTAATTAGAGGTCAGTTCGATGCATTTCCCATCCGATAATAGAATAATATTCGAAAACCAAATAGAAAGTTCGTGGAACAGAGTGCAACTAATGATTGAACTGTACAGAGTTAAATGGAAATCTAATTACTTCTAAGACAGTAGAATCAGAATTTCTCTCAATATCAAAGATCCCACAAGCAGAATTAGGAATTACTTCTACTTTTCAACTTATGGCTACACACACTAATAATTATCCCAAACTACTTGGTTACAGCGACGAAAAAATTCCTGTACCTTCCCTTCCACATGCATGCCTGTTAGATGCAACTTTGCCCACATTCCAAATCCTAGTCTTTTCCTTAGCTTCACTCCAAGTATTGCACTCATATCATCAGCTGTAAGAAAGTTCATTCCTAACTCCAGAACCTGAAATTATTTCCTTCAATGCAATTAAAATCGAATGCAAAAGATGGTGTCTATATATAAGGGTCGAAGTCAAACGGGCACAATAAACAAAGCGTACCAAGTGATCATCCTCACTAGGCTGATGAAGAACCCTCATTTCAGTAAACATAGGTGGGTTTCTTCCCAAATATAGATGTTGAACCACAGCCTTCTTCTGCAATTATACACTGGTCATCAAAAATCTGTTCGGATATAACATTATGATCACCAAACAACAAGAGTCGAGAAGAAATCATGTCCTGTCAATATCCCTGCAACTCTCGAGTTCGCTGAACACAACGATGGGAAGTATGATATCGTAAAGACAGTATATTGCTTGAATTCAATTCATTGTATCGATCAAAGAAATGGGTATATAAAATATCAGATTGGGAACATACAGCAGTCCATGGTTTGTACTTCTCCAAGAACCAAGGTATGATGGGGAGGAGAATCTTCTGAGAAGCAATGTGCTCCATGCATATAGGCCATATCTTTTCAACAGCATGGTTTAACCATCTAACTGTTTCAGAATCTGTAAGTACCTGAAATTCACATTTGATTCAAACCAAAAATAAGGGGAAAAAATGGCGTTACCCTCTCAATTTCTTAGTATTCAAGAATTCATGATCAGAAAGGAAAAGAAATTATAATACCCTTCTCTGATTAGCTTGCTTTCTCTCCTCAAATTGAAATTTCCTCCTTAGTTTTAGAACATACCGCTCATGCACCTTTCAAAAAGAAGAGTAGAAGTTCAAAGAAGAAGCACATTCTGTTAATGACGATGAGAACTATCCAGATTCCCTAAATATCTCAAATGGAGAAACCGCGATTAATTAAAACGATTATCTGACGATTCATAACTTCTCAAAATCAATTCAAAGTTACAGATTAAGGATTATGAAAATCAAACAGTGAACAGACGTGGAAGAATTACCAGGTAGAGATAGATGAGAGAGATGAAATACGCAGCAAGATGAGAGCAATCGAAGGCGGAAAGTAGCCAGAGAAGAAAAAGGACGAATCCCACATGAAGCATTATTGAAACCTCCATTAGAATCAATCTTCAATTCAACTCCCACTTTAGAGAATCAAAAGGAAAGATGGCCTTCCTATACACTTCCTGTACCAACACACGACTTTCTAAAGAATCAGGTTACTATATCTGCTATTTCCTTTTTTCCAAATGGGCTCCACCAGATTCATAAGATTCTTACTCCAAACCCCATTAATGAAACAACTTCCAACGTCCGACCCACCAGATTAAAATCAAAATAATCGAATCTCTAATCCGATCATAGACCTAAAAGGAAAACCCAAATCAATACTTCCCTAAAATCATCAATAAGAACCAAATCTCAGCATAGCAACTTCTTCAAGAAGAAAAAATCGAACCCCATCAAGAGAAGGTACAGATTCCGAAATGCTCTAATCAACATTCTCCAGGACAATGAAACGGTGGCGTAGGAGTGAAGAAACCGTCGATGTGAGAGAAGGAATTTGAGCAGTTGAAACTTAAAAGTAAGTTACTAAGAGGAACTCCAAGCACGTGTCGGATACGTGTCGAAATCGGAAGAGAAGACAAAGGAGTTCTTGTTGCTGCCATGGCTGACCTCGATCATCTTTTTCCCAAATGGGTCTCTCTGATCGGCAGACCCAGTAGTCATTTCATGTCGAAACAAGCAAATTCTAATTCAAAAATAAAAACCCACAAAGGGATCAAGAAATTCCCACAGTGGCTCCGTTTTTCTGGGTCTGGAACAAGCACTTAAATGAAGAACATCCACTCGGCAATTCAATAAAAGATAATTGAAGACGTATCACATATAATATCCAAATATCTCTGTTGGGTGAGAAGGAATTAATCTGAAACTCACGTTAATGTCTAAAATAATCCAAGACAATTAATCAAATTGAAAACTTTGACTCCCTAAAATGGGGGTTTAAGGGACTGATAAGACTCAATGAGGTGTCGTGGGGACGAAACGCTGTATCACGAAAGGGACGGCTGCCGACTCAATTCTTCGAATAGAAAATTATTGCAGTTCAAATTCAAACAGTTCATTAGAAAGAAGTTTGGACTTACAGATTTATTACAAAAATAGGATAGTGTTATTTGGATCTTGTCTCTTTCACAGGCTGTGATGGCGAACCTATATCAAATAAAAAAGAGGGGTTTTTAAATTGTTTACTAGTTTCTTGGATGATATTTCTTATGTTATGTTATAGCATTAGTAGAATTTAGACTATAGTTTTAAAATGTCATAAGTATATTTTAATGATGGCTAGGAAGCATAGTCTATGCGTGTCATATTTTCTTGCTTTCTTTGACAATTTAAAACTTGTGAAGGTAGGTGTTGGGTAGCATGAGTGAGACAAGAAGTTAGTCGCTTGCATGTCAATATTGGGTAATAGTATTGATGATATGGAGATGTGGGGTTCAAACTCATGATCTTTTAGTCAGAGATATGTGTCTTAATCACTTGAATTATGTTTGATTTGACTATATCTTTTTTAGTTTAACAATATGTGAAGGGATGGAGATTCGAATATGTGACCATTTTGTGGATGAGATATATAGGTGAAGTGTCTTTTCATTTTGAATAACATGAATCTTAAAATTAATTATAAAATAATTGAAAGTTGGGGTCCTATTTGATTCAATTATTGGCATGGTTGAATAATTGGAATTATTAAAACAATAAATGACTTTTGATCTTGAACTTTTTTTCTTTTGTAGCAAGAGATTGAACATTTAACTTCAAAAAAATATAACTGGTACTTTATCCACTAAATTATTGTATTCAAATCGAAATCGATTATGATTTCTTTTTTTAATATAACAAATGGGGAGATTCAAATTCGCAACTTCATGATTGAGATAAGTGTCAATATCACTTAACTACATCCAAAATGATTGTTTGTAACTTGTTTTTTTTTTCTTTTCTCCCTCATTTGTATTTTACTTGACTAGTTAAATAATTTGACACCTTCCTAAACTCATTTTAATTTCATTATTTATATTTAGTCAAATAACTAATGTTAATAGTACTAAAAAATAATTAATGTTGATAGCGTTTAAAAGCTAATATAATATAAAATTCACAAAATAAAACCAAATAAAAATAATATAGCTAAATTAAATGTAAGTACATTTTGGATGTGGTACATGGTACTGTGAGAGTATTAAAATTACGGTTGGGTATCTTAAAGCTAAATAGTTTTTTAAAAAGAAAAAATATATAAAAAAGAATAGTATTAGATCTAGTCTCGAGCAATAATTGAAACCTACTTCTTCTTTTGAGGTCAAGGTTTAAACTCAAGTGTAAATTAAGGATCTATTTGATAGAGAATTTCCAATACAATTTATTGTATTGTTTTCCGATTCAGTGAATTAAATGGATTTTGTTTGGCCAGATTTGTTTTAAAAAATTCTTTCCGGATTCTGTAATCCAAATAGTGGAAATTCTTAAAATAACTTTTTTTTCAGTGTTTTCATATTCGAAATCCAAAACTTTTAAATGCATAACTATATTTAAAAAGATAAAATTTTTTTTTTGATAAATACACTATTTCATGTTATAAATTTATTTTATTTTTGTTAAAATTAAAACGTGTAAAATACAATATATTATAAGTTATATAATATTGTAAAATACTCATTCTAACCAAATTTATAACATTTACGTTAATAAATAAATTAATAATATTTTAGATTAAATCAATATTTAGTAGGTAACTAAGGAAGATTTTTTTTTTTAATAATGCTCCCTTTGAAACTTATTCCAAATATATATCAACTCCAAAATTATTTCTAAAAATAATGTTTTGGAAATTGTAGGTTGTCTCTTGAAGAGACGACCTATGTCACCTCACGCTTCCCTAGTTGTATGACGCCTCGACGCCATGTGTTGTTTTTTTAATTCTGGCATGTCGTATCTTCAAAAAACGGCAAATGCAAAATGATAATAGATTTAATATTTTGTTATAGTGGTTGTTCCCTTACCTTATAATCTAGATGTCTTAGAAGATAAGGGAACAACCACTGTAGCAGAGTATTAGAATTGTTATTATTTTGCATATGTCGTCTTTTGAAGAGATGACATGCCATAATTAAAAAAACTACATGGCTCCAGCGAGACGCCATACATCTAGAGAAGCGTGAGGTGACATAAGTCGTCTCTCCAATTTTCAAAACATTATTTTTGGAAATAGTTTGGGACTTGATATACATTTAGAATAAGTTTCAAATGAAGCATTATTAAAAAAAAAAATCCTAACTAATAACCTACAAATATATTACAAAACAACTTAATTTTTTTTAAAAAATTCAGATTCGAGTTTCATATCTATTACCAAAACACACGTTTGAAAACGTGAATACAATAAATATTTTGTTTTCAGATTTCTGTTTTCATGTCACCAGCCAAACGAATCCTAACTCACTCTAAAATATAGTGCCAGATAAATTCTCTTGATCTATTTATATATAACAAATTGACCATTGAACATCTATGAATACATAATCGAATCAAACCCAAGACCATATATTTTTTTACAGATTCGTTTGATAATAATTTATTTTTTTAGTTTTTTATTTTTCAATTTTTCAATTTTCAAATTTTAGAAAACAAAACCAATATATATGTTTGGTAATTGTTTTTTTAACCATGTTTGATAACTGTTTTTTTTTTCATTTTAGAGAGTTAGATAAGTTGAAGAGATAAAATCCCCTCCCATTTCGACCTTGTGGGAATTTTTAGTCCTCATTCTCTATTTTGGGTGTCGATGATCATCGTTTGGGGATGAGAATCTTCCTGGGAAAGGTTACCAGTTTAATAATTAATTTTAATTTTTAAGAATTTAAAAATTTAAAAATTTAATATTTACCAGCATAAATAACTAATTTTAAAAAACATTAAATATTTTGTTCTTAATTTAGTAAAATAGTTAATATATATTTATAATTTAAAAAATGAAATTGGGGATGAGGTTGGGCATGGTGGTAAATACATTCCCTGTTCTTAGAGTGAGTCCCCGACCCTATGAGGATTTTTGTCACCTAATGTAGAGATACCAAAAAAAAAAAGTTTAGAGAGATAAAAAAAACTTTTTGAAGCGAAATTTAGGGAGATAAAAAAGGATGTGGAGAAAAAATTTCTAGTGAGATAAAAGTTTGGGACAAAAAGGGAATTTTAGAGAAAGAGAGTAAAGTTAAAAGAGAAAAAACATGTTAGAGAAATAAAGAAAAAGAGAGAAAATTTATTAGTGAGAAAAAATTCAAGATATATTTATTAGAGAAAAATGAATAAATAAAAAGAGAAAGAAAAATTACAGTGAAAGAAAATTGAAAGAGAAAAAAAATTTAGATAGAGAAAAGTTTATGATATATCTCCTACTGGACTAGAAAGATAAATAAAAATTACACAAAGCAAAAATTGAGGGAGAAAAAAGTTTGGGACAACATTAATTTTTTTGAAGAAAAAAAATTTGAGTCATATGTTAGATAGACATGAGAAAAATTAAATATGAATTTAAGTGTGAGAAAAATTTAAGACATGAGGAGTAAATTTTTAGAGAGAGAAATTGAAGTATGAGAAAAATTTAGAATGAAAAAGAATTTTGTTAAAGAAAAATATTTCAAAAGAAAAAAAATAAATATGAATTGAAATTTACTGACTGTTTTATAGATAGGTGCTTAATCAGTTGAATATAATTGATCTCCGTAATTTGCAATAAGTAATATATAATATGTTAAACTTTAATGTATATATATATTTTTATAAATAACTTTAATGTATAATACTTCATCTTTGTCGTTTATAATTTATAAAAGCTTAGTTTAGTTAGTTAACTATCTTGGTAAAAAAAATTACAAGTTGGGATTCGACCAACTATGTACTAAAAGACGAAAAAAGAGTAATAATTAAATATCTTCAATGAAAAATTTAAAGAACGAAGCGATTATCAAAAGGGTGCTCAAAGGCCAAAGCCAACTACTTTTTTAAGAATGGAATACCTAAGTTGATCACAGGTTACAAATTCACCTTGAATTTTTTTAAGTTTTGTGGACAAAAATTATGGCGTTCACCATGTTTTTCTTGGGCAAGAGGCAAAACCAGGAGCGCGGGATGGAAATGGAGAGGAGAGAGATGACGGATGAGGCGAGGCGAGGCGAAGCTTGCGAAATCTGACACATCTTCCATTGATGACGATTCCGCCATTGTCCCATTTGCCATAAACAAATCCGCTAAATCACTATCATCCTTCGCCACGTTCCAATCCAGTTTGAGTCAATAACAAAGCGCGATGCAAAGGTTTCGATTCTTACGAACTCCTCTGTTTCCTCTCAATCCTCCCTTCTTCGTCTCCCAAACTTCTCATCTTCTTCCGCTGAAACCCATTTCCAAAATTCCCACCAAGAGTATGGCGTCCTCATCATCTTCTTCCTCTTCTTCTAACCTCTTGTTCCGTCAACTCTTCGAGAAGGAATCCTCCACTTTCACCTACCTCCTCGCTGATGTTTCCCATCCGGACAAACCCGCGCTTGTAATTTCCCTTTCTATGTTTTGTTACGGTGTTTGGACTTTGAATTAAATTTGAAATTTGGCTGTTCTTTGCCGAAACGTGTGATGGATTTGGTTTCATTTCATCACAGTTCTTAGTTGGGTGGGGAACTTTGGTCAAAAGCATTAATGGGGTTCTTCGATTTTCTCGTAATTTGTTGAATTTTCTCTGTTCTCAGTTGATTGACCCGGTTGACAAGACTGTAGATAGGGATCTAAACCTTGTTCGAGAACTGGGGCTGAAGCTTGTTTATGCTATGAACACTCATGTGCATGCTGATCATGTCACTGGCACTGGACTTATCAAGGTTATTCTTCTCCATCGTTGTTTTTGTTGGTGATTTTGCATTCCCAATTATCGTTTCTTCTGTGTCGGACTTCATAGTTAATCTTTGATGCGATCATTTCATTTAGAGTAGAGTTCCAGGAGTGGAATCTGTAATCTCGAGGGCAAGTGGTTCAAAAGCTGATGTGTTGATTCAGCCTGGCGATAGAATTCCTTTTGGTGATCTATTCCTGGAGGTAGGCCAATACTTATATTTAACACTACAAAGATACAGTATTGATTTCTGTTTGCTTTCTTAAAGACTAAACAGATATTATCACAATCTGCTATGAATATTTACTTTTGTGGGTCTTGAGAACACAAATGCAATACAGAGACGGAGTCAATTGTTGCACCAGGAGTTGTTCTATATTATTCCACACTGGATCTGGCTCCTTTGTCTCCTATTTTCTTCTTGGGGTGTGGCTCCACATCATTACTTCTTATTGTTGTTTGTTCATTATTCTTATATTACTATCAACAATAATATGCCTTTCTCTGGAAATAAAAAAGTTGTACTGCAAAGATATGTCTTCTAGTTCCCTCTTGATGATCATAACAATCACAATCCTGGAATAGGATTATTTCCCTAGTATAGGTGACCACATTAAGGAAGGAGGAAATAGTTGAACATTTTAGAAACTTTGTGTTATTGCCACCTCCATCTTTCATCTCTTAATGCTGAAATGAAGAAACATATGGATAACATAGGGAGTGTTAGCTAGGAAGCTACCACTTACCATTAGATGTGCCATCATTTTGGTAAAGATTCTGGAGATGCGACTTGGTTTTCTGCTATTATAGAGTTAGAGATCTCTTATGCTTTAATTTGTTTGGAGTGAGAGGGAAATATGTAATTTAACTGTGATTTTACCAAGCCTTGAATGGAAAACTGATGTGTCGTATGGTTTGACGATTTTGATCAACTATGATCCCCACTGTTGTATACTTTCTGGTGTCGGTTCTTTTCCTGAACCCGAGTGACAGCAGAATATTCTTTGTATGCTTTCAAAGGGTTCGTCATCAAGTAAAGCAGTGTTAAGAAAATGATAAATTTTGGGGACAATCCTAGAGTTGACTCTTGACTCGACTGTATCTTGCATTTGATTTCAGGTTCGTGCTACTCCTGGCCATACGTCAGGATGTGTCACCTATGTAACAGGGGAGGAACCTGATCAGCCTCATCCTAGGATGGCATTCACTGGGGATGCTCTGTTGATACGTGGATGTGGCAGGACAGATTTTCAGGTGGCTTTCACACCTTTTGACTTATTGTTCAATTGTTACTGGTAGTACTCGAGTTGTTCTCAAAAGCACTGGTCTTTCAGATAAAGTGATTTTAGTATAATAATTTGGCGGTCTTTTCCCCTCTAGCTTGTGACTCGATGTATATTTAAAAAAATTTCCAAACTTCTTTGGTATCTACTGGGTGGTACACAATTTTCTGTTCTGTTGTATAAACCTCGAGTGATACTGGTAACTGGTGTCGTTTTCATTACACTGGAAACATTATGAATGATCGACTGATCACTTAGGCGTAAATGTTTTCTTAATTAATCACAACCATTCTGCATGATTCTGACCTTTATGTTTAGCACAAACTGCCTTTATCTACAATTTCAACATTTCCAATATAACGTATCGATAAGAAACTTTTCGATATTACTGGATTTCCCGTGCTTGGATAGGTATTATCCTCTTTCACATTTGAAGAATTGACCTTTATTGCTACAAGGCTGAATATCATTGTATTTTCTGCAGGGTGGAAGTTCAAAGCAGCTCTATGAATCTGTACACTCGCAGGTAAGGACCTGATACTTGGTATATTTGCAACTAAAACAGGAAGGAGAGATTATAGGAAAAGCTAAGAACATAATCACTATTAATGGAGTTTCTTTGCTTTAGCTTTCTGTAACATAAACTCATCTTATTATTAACTCTCTGTGCCAGATCTTCACCCTGCCAAAGGACACATTGATCTATCCTGCTCACGATTACAAGGGATTCAATGTAAGGAAAATTTCTACAGTTCATTCTTTCTTCGAAACACGGTTTGGTTACTTATATCCAACTCGGGATTTCAGGTTAGTACTGTAGGCGAAGAGATGGTACACAATCCCCGGCTCACCAAGGATCTGGTAATTTCTTAACTAACCAAAAACACTTATCTGGAAATTTCATTATGAAGCAGAATTAGTTACTAAAACCTGCGTCTAAACTTTGTAACACTTTACCTGGGTTTGCTTTTGTTTTGCAGGAAGAATTCAAGAAAATAATGGAAAGTGAGTACATAAACAAAAATTTTATTCTGGTGTGTACCGATCGCCTCTGCTATAATAAATGTCTGGTTTATCTTTGTTACAGATTTGAACCTGGCGTATCCAAAGATGATTGACATTGCAGTTCCAGCAAATTTGGTTTGTGGTTTGCAAGATCCAGCTTCTTAACTCTGTCAACTCTACGAGTCATTGTGTATAATTGGCCTTCAAATTCAAAATATATAAAATAAAAAAAGAAGAAGAAGAAGAAGAAGAAGAAGAAAGATCAATCAAAATCAATAGGCCAATGGTGTGATCTCCACTAACAAAAATAAAAATACATGTAGAAATGACATTATCTGCTAGCCTTCTGCTATGCCTGTCTTGTGGGTTACAAAATGGTTTGCTTGATGAGTTGTCTCTCTCTTTTCATTTCACTGAAGTTTTTGTTTGCCACCACCCTCAATAAGAATGATTTCTAGTTCATTGATAGATCAAATGACTTGCAAAAATAGTTCTGCAATCTCAATACTGTTCGTAGACTGTAAAATCGAGTTAAATTATACTTCTCGTTCATGAACAGCATCACATCGTAGGTGTCTCGATGTAATGATTAAAAATAAAGACCAAAATAAAAAACATATTATATACTTTGAAGAACATGTCAATGGTAGTGATTGTAAGAACATGAGAATAGTATTTTCAAGTAAACAAGTTTGGTCTGTGCAACTGGATTTTATTTTCCATAATAGTGAGCCAGCCATTCATGATGCTGTGAACAAAGAAAATCGCGCTGTTAGTAGGGGCCTTGAAGCAAATTCTATTCGTCGATTCTTTTCGATTTGTAAGTTTGATTCTTTGTTTGGAAGGCCTTCAATGAGCCAGTATTCATAACGTGTTGGACACTTCTGTTTAACATATTCTGTTCAGCTAAAGTTCATTGGATCCAACAGCAATCAAAGCATGAATATAAAGAAAAGAGATGAAGAAGAAGTATCAGGCTTCATATTTCCCATTTCTCAACTGAAAAACAAATATATAGATATAGTTCATGTAAACAATATATACACAATCAGTTATATGTAATGAAAAAAGAGCTTCAACTAAACATGTAAATCCCCTAATTGAACATCCTGGGCCTTCAATGGAACGTATTCCCCAAGATAAACTTCGAGATGATCAGACAATGAGGACTTGTCGATGTTTTGATGGTGATATGATTTGCAGACGAAGTAGATAATGGTTTGGGCAACGAGACCAAAGAGGAACACTTTGAACAGCAAGAGGAAGCAAAGAATTCCAAGAGCAATTCTTAGTCCATTGTACTTAGAACTGCCAAGCACAACCAGAGTCTGGAAAACCAACTGACTCCCCAGAAAGAGCAGAGCGAAAGTCAAGAAAACAGCACAAGAAAGCTTCATCTTCCCCTTTATCAGTTCCCTACTCTTCACCATAGCTTGAATCCCATAAACATCCTCCAAAACCGACACAACACTCGCCAGATGCCAGACTACGCTTATGTACACAAAGCCTACAAGATACGACGCCGCAAGTCCACCCAAGATCACAATCCCAACCCCACCGAACCCCAAAATTGCTGCCCACAGGAAAAGCAAAACCCCAAAAGCAATGTTGTAAACCAGAACAATAACAGAATTCCAAACGAAAGTAAGCATCAGCCTTCTCCAAACCTTAGGGACGACGCTGATAACCTTCCTGAAGGTGACTTCCTTGGCCGTGTAAATGCAGGCGACGGTGTAGACGACGGCGGCCGTGGAAAGGAGCGCGAGGACGAGAAAGAAAGTGAAGTAGGCAGCCTTGAAGAGCCAAAAACCGATCCACTCCGAAGAGATCACATCAGAAAGCTTGGAGTAGTTGGGAGAATCCTTGGGGGTAGAGCTGAGAGAGTCTTCGTTATTCAAGATCTTGAAGAACAGGAGCTCGGATACCTGGATGTGAGCAAGGAAGATGACTGAAAGAGGCAAGATTAGGGTTAGGGTAATCTTGCTGAAGATCTTCCTCCATTGAAAAACAATGTTGAAGGATTCTCTGAAGATGCCGAAGAAGCTGAGAAATTGAAGATCTTCTTGCTCTCTATCCATGGCTGCTCAGGCTCTGCAAATCGAAGAGACGACCGACGGCGAAGTCTGAAGCATTAACAACCGCTATAAATTAACAAAAAAGAGACCACTAATTGACTCAAATTTCCCAAGACGTCCCTTTTAAGTTTTATCGCCTTTTGTTCATTACACGTCATCTATTTTCTGTTATTATTATTATTTTTTTAACAATACTTAAAAAGATTCTATTAGCTTACTAGTTGAGGAATTGGAATGTGAGAATTTTTTTTTAAAGTATAATCTTTTCTACATTTATTTATTCGAGCCGCCGTTGTCAAAAGTCTAATGGTAGTGAGCGAAAGAGCTCTAATTTTTTAGGCTATTTGTTCTTCTTAGTTTCTAACCCTTTCACTGAACTAACACATTTATGAGAGAGTATGGTTGACCTAGACCTTTTGACTACACGAGCAGATCTGTGAGGGAGCATGATCGACCAATGAGGGAACGTAACCGACTTATGATGGAGTGAGGGGTGCGGAGGAAGACATGCACAAAGAGAATAGATATCTCAACGCTCAAGTCATTCTCAGTCCGAAGTATTATTCTCGAGACGAGGTAATTAAAATTGCACACTTATGTAAGGATTGAGCCCTCAGTATTTATAGGCACTTAGGAGCGAGTTCCACTTAATCAGCCATTTAGCATGTCGCGTGAATCACAACGTGAATTCAGCGATAGTGGCAAGTTGGGAGTTGAATAGCGATTGAAGAGTGGTTATGGGTGGTGAGCTCGGATTGGATCAGAAGATGGTCGAGCTATATCGTTGGCAAAACTATATCCTATAAATTATGTTGAGGTATTACTCTTCAGAAAATGGGTCTTAGATTCTATTTAGTCTTCACATTTCAAACAAAATTCTAATAGATGTTTTAGCTTTCAATATCGTGCCTTATTAGTCCATCTTGTTGACTTTATTTTACATTTAGACTATCTAGACTTATATGAAATCTTCTGGTCATATAATTTTTGAATTATACAACTCTGAACAAATGAAGCTAATATCTTAACTAGTTTTTTTTATTGGTTTATTTTTTTGTAAAAGTTTTTTTTTGGGTAGCTATAAATGTTTTGCTTCAAGATGGGATTTTTATTTAGTCTTTGAATTTTGAATAATTCCTTGCATCGTTGATTTTGTGGTTGGGTTTTGTTAATTTCGTAATTGGATGATCTATGACTTAATTTTAGATTTTTTTAATTATTTAAATTTTTTTTTTGTTGACTTTTGTGTTTTTTCGGTTGATTTACACCCTTTATCCAGGACAAAATTGAAAGCTTAAACTTAAAAGAAATTTACTAAAAATTTAGGATAAAAGAAATAATCTAGTACTCTATTATGGGATCTTTTTTCAATTTAATTTATAATTCATTTTTTTTCTTTTTTAGTTAATAAGAACCTAATACCCCATAGATCGTTCGAACTGGATAGCAAGAACTTGCAAAATGAATCTGTTTATCATAAAGAGATTCGTTGTTCCTGACCCTTCTCTACCTACCCACCTGTGTCGGTTTCGGGTACAGATACCCTTTTGTTGAAGGTCGTTCGAACTTTTCCTGGGAGTATGACATGGGTTACTTCAGCGCCGTAACTCTAATCTTCAATATTTAGTATTTTTTTAATATGATATGTGAGGTGAGAATTTCGAATTCATGACTTTTTAATTGTTAATAAATGACTTAACTCATAAAACATAAGTTTTAGATGGAGAATCTTTTAAGTAGTTAAATAATAAATTGATTTGTTAAATATATTGACTTCACTATGTAATCTCTAATATTTTAAAAGCTTTCATGTATTAATCTATTTTTTCAATAAAATCCATACGTACTAAAAAAAATAAAGTCCATACAATTGCTAAATAAATAAATAAAGTCCATACAATTGCTAAGGACTCAAATAATGATGAAATATGAATTAAAAATAGTAATTTTCATGAGGTTGGTCAATGTTGGTATAGCTAAAATTTAATAGGTCAGCTTTTTTTTTTCCGAAAAAATAATTTTGGGTTATGTAAATTATCAAAAAAAATTTTAGTTCTTTTTTTTTATACAAACTTCCAACATTTTAATTAAGAATACCATGTTAAGTACTTAAGTCCTATGAAAAAGCTTTTAACTTTATGAGGAGTTGATATATGTATTTATCAAACAAAAACATGAATTATTTTACACCATTATTTTACAAATTAATTTTAATGTGACAATAAAACCAAATTAAATTATTTATTTTGGAATCTTTTATGCTTAAAATTTATTTGCTTGGAACCTTTTTCTATTTTCATCTATTTACTTTGAAAATATTCGCTTTAATCTCTACTTTCTTTTTTTCTTTTACCTCATTATGCATGGTAAATTAGTTCTGATGTCCAAATATTATCAGCTTTGATAATAGTGATGTTGAAGAAATTATTTAATATGCTATAAATCTATCAGCTATATTGTACCAACCAATCACTAATTGAAGTTGCAATGAAAATGACGCTAGGAAAATTATTCAATATGGGCTAAAACTGTTAATCATATTGTACGAATCAATTTATCGTGACATTTACACTGACACTAACTCTACCTATTATCATTATACTTTTCTTAATTTCTTGAATTTTAGTTCTATGGGGCAAAAAGTCGAACTCCGACGTCTTAATTAAAGATATATGTCCTGAACCCTGGTCAAATTGGCCGTGGTTTCTAAATTGTTCCATTTTGGTTTGATAAAATATTATTTTAATAGAACCCCCGGGCCCTGGCCGCGCATTCTGATCCATTTCGGCATTCGGGTCTTCTTCTGGAGAGAGAGACACAGACAGAGCCGACGGTGAGTCCAAAAAATGAGCCAGGAGGAGAAAGCCGCCGCCGCCGCAGGGGTCGTCGTCCACCACCATCACGAATCCAATTCCGGCCACCCTCAGTACGGCACCTTCCAAGGCGTCGCCAATTATCCTCCGGTCGGATTTCCCCAGCCTATTCGCCCACCCGGCGCCTCTGACTCCTATGATCCTTCTCAATCTCAGCCCTACGCTCATGCCTATCAAGCTGTCCCTGGTAACCTCTTCTTCCTCAATTTTCCTTACTGTTTTTTGCCTGCTATTCGTTGTTTCTCTTTGGCTCTTGTGCAATTTCTTCGATCTAATGCTTTTCCGTTTGACTCGAACTACTGATTTCTGTTGCTCGGTCAAGTGCTTTGAGTTGAACTTGATTCTTGCCGAAGTAGCTCAAACTGGATGAGATTTTAAAGACGAGATGTATGAACACTTGCGTCCTAAACTTGATCTTACTTGAGTAACTTAGTTCTGTCCGGAAGCAAAATTATGATCTAATGAATGGTTATGTGCCAGAAATGAACGAGTGGAGTTAGTCATATATTCTTGATTCTCTGTATTTCAATTCAAATTCAACCTTCAGCTTCCTACTGCTACCAGGTGTTTGAGATTAGATCTCGCCTTTTCTTGTTCTGTGAATGTGCTTTACCTTGGTTTCTGCTTCGAAGTTTACAGTTCAAAATTGAAAAATAAGTAGGAAGCCACTTTCAACTCATTGTAAACAAAGATCGCAATAACATATAATAGTTTATCAATTGTTTAATTTGAAGCTTTTTGGTATAACGAAATATCGACAAAAAGTTTGGCAGGATTCTTACTTATAGACACGCGACTCTCTTTAAACTAAAAAATACTTGATTTTATCATTCTGAAATTCGCATGCTCTTTCCTTTTTGCATCTTAAGAAGAATATACGGAAATGAATGTCACCTTTTTATATATTTGCGTTGCGTGACAACTATTTTGTCATGTGTCTTATGTTCTGTCACTTTGTCATATTAACACTTTGTATCTCTCTCTTGAAGGAGAATCATCGTAAGATTTGATGTTATACTATTAAATTACGTTCAATATCATTGTATTTGGCTAGTGCTTCGTCTGACTTTTTTCTGAAATATGTACTATTGGCTTTGCTTAATATATCACTTATCAGTACACAGACATAAGTATTAGCTCAAGCTTTTTTTCTTCTAATTCTTTTCCAGGATATGCTATTGTCGAAGGAAGACCAGTGAGAGAGAGACGCCTTCCTTGCTGTGGTATTGGCATTGGGTGGTTCCTGTAAGTAGCTATAATTGTTGCAATTTACCAACATTTATGGAAAGTTACATTAGCATTGTTGTTAACAAGCCAGGTGAAACGGTTATGCCCACAGTTAAAATTTTCAGAGGTTACATGGTCAATGAATTATCATTTCAGAGGATTAGATGCTACAAATTCCATGTTATGAGCTAAAACCCGTCAGTGTCTAGATTGGAATGACATAGTTGCTACTTGCGTACTGCCTACTATTTATATCTTGCTATAGAAACTTTTTGCCCAGATTTTGCGTCTATAAATAACTGACCAGACAGGTTACTATCTGTGTTCGTAAGGTTCATTATTGGTTTCTTCATTGTTGGCATCCCGTGGTATGCTGGGGCAATTGTCATACTATGTGGCAGGGTAGACTACCGCGAGAAACCTGGATATGTTGCCTGCACAATTGCTGTGAGTAGCTTTTATTCCCCGTTCATTTTGGCTTTTTCAGATTCATGATGATGTTCTTATATCTTCAATCTAAATTTGCAATTCGTAAAAGAAGTGATTTTTGTGTTATACTTTTTTGCAACTTGCCAAAAATATAGATGTTTTGGCAAGTTCTCTGTTCAATAAAGATTTTGTTTAGTGAATTAAGGTTGTTTATTTACACTTTCTTTGTTTGGTTTTTATTTGAAATCTTAATCATAACAAGTGTTTACGTTCATCTACTTTTTTCAGTTTTGTTTTGAAAAAAGTTTAACTATATCTTTACATTCAACGTTAATGATATTACATTGTGTATCAGGCTATTCTTGGCACACTTGCACTTATTCTTGGCGTAACGAAGGGAGTTGATGTCTGGTAAACAAATCCTAAACTAAAAAGTGTTGTATAGTTTGCAAATATGTATGAACAACACAACCCATGATTTCTCAGCACCACATCTTCAAGCTAGTTCCACAGAAACCTGAATTTGTGAGAGCATAAAATTATTAGTTAGCGGTTGTTTCCCATGTTGTACCTAAGAACTGCAGCATTCTGCAAAATCATGCTATTTCTTTTTCTTTTTCCCATGATTGTGTCCAAATATGTGTTTTGATTATTCATCTGAAACCCCTTTGTCAGAGTGTACTTGTCCTTTGGTAAATATATTTATTATTGTTGTTTGGAAAAAACATTTGAATATCAGAATAGAACTGTTTCTTACTGATCATCAGATCGTTCCCCTAGCGAAGAAGTTGCCCAGCCTGATGATCTTTCCAGGTAAATTTTGTTATTCATCACCATGTATGTAAGGTAGGAAGTTCTATTGATTTGGTAGTAAATAAAACTTCTTCAAAGAGGAGTTAAACATGGTCTTAGTTCTTATACTTCAGCTCTGGTGATAATTTGTTACACACACACACCTGAATTTATAGTTGATTTTAGATTAGAGATTCATTTGCTTCGTTTATTTTTGGTTGAGTACAACAAATGTGAGGGATAGGGATTTAATCTCGGGGCTTCATTCACTTATTCACGTTTCATGTATGATTTGTGTTTTAATTTGAAGTTTTTTTTTCTTTGTTACATTTTTTTATATACAAGGGCGAGTATGAAATATAAGTGTTAGATAGCTAAAACATCATATGAGAGATTGAATATTTAAATTGATATAGAAATGCCCGTGTTCCTTTAGAGAACTTAGCCCTAAAGTAGGGACGTAGATAGGTTGGTTAGGTTAGTGTAGGTTTTATGCTAAAATCTACGTCGAAAATCGGCCATTTGGTTTTCGACCATTTGGTTTCAGTCAGTCGAAAACTTGTGATATTTTTAGCTTTGTAAAAATTAACATATTGAATTGATGGACGGTTGATCAACATTTCTTAAAATATTGATATAGCTTTGTATTAAAGGATTTTTGTTATATTATTTGTATTAGAATTTAGTAAACAGAGGGCAAAACAGACATTTTTGAGGAGTATAGGAGATGAAGATAGATGTCTTGAAAGCATATGGATCAGAATAAAGAAACAAAATGTTAGAGGGCTGAATTACAAGTCCAGTCCAATTTTACAAAGTGTTAATTTGAAGGCTATTAGATACAAAATTTAATATTTTCTCTGATAAACCCATGAATTAAAAAAAGTATATGGATAATAAGTTAAGGATCTATTAGATATAAAATTGAAATTTAAGGAATAAATTAAATATTTTAACGGTTCTTGAATTTATTAGACATAATATTGAAAATTTAGACATCTAATAGATATTTTTTAACGTTTAAAATACTTGTTAGATACATTATTGAAAGTTAAAGAGACCAAATTAGACTACCTTGAGATTCAACTGCTAGCTTCGATTAAAACATCGTGACACATGTTGTATTAAAAAAGTATGAAAGGGATATTTTGACCATGTGAATTAAAATAGATAAAAGCTAAAGGAGGATTACTATAGTATTTAATTAAGCTGAAAAAACAATTATTTGTTATACTTAAACCTTTAGAGAATGTAAAGTTTTCCATACGAAGAGAACAAAATAAATAAGTGATGGGATGGAATGGAATTATTGGTGGGAACCTATGATACTTTTTCAGAATCGTCCAATTTAAAATTATTGTTATCGTTTTTGTTATTCTTATTTGTTTTTTTACATCGGTTGCCAACTGCCATTTTCTTTGTTCGAACACTGATAAAAGAAAAATTAATAATAATAATAATAAAAGAACGGAAATGTCAAAGTTTCAATTTTAGAAAAATGTTGATGGATTGTTTTCAGTCTCGATAGATATTTCTAAAAAAATTATAAAATTATAGAAGTAAAGAATTCATAAAACTATATGGCCTAATTCCTCATTATCTTTTCTTATTCTTTTTTATTATTATGGTATGCTAAGTCTAGTGGAAGAAAAAAATTAAATAGATCTTCATTGGAGAACTTTATTTAGAAGATCATCGATTATTCTATTTTTTTTTTCCAACCGCGTATAAACAAAAATTTAATTATTTGCATGTCCAAATTCAGACATTTATGATGGGGAAATTTTTGAAATGTCAATTATAGTAATTATACCCATCAAAATAAACTATCAACCACAATGGTTTATCATTAATTACCATCCCACAAGTACTTGGTGGGACGGAAGGATGAATAAGAGTAATCTCGATAAAATTTTCAACTCATCTTCTACCCTTTTGTAATGGAAGGAGGGACGATTAAAAGAGATTCCAATTTTTTAAAGATAATCTGTGATTGTGTGCATATTCTAATAACGAGGTCTTATCCATGTTAGTGAAAAAACCACTTTCTTGTAATCGCATATCCGATTTATCATCTAATCTAATCCTGTGCTATCTAAAGTTTTGTTGGTATCATTTCTCATAAAGTAATGGCCAAAGGAGATAATTTTCAAAAGATTTCCAAGAATTCAGGAAACGTAATGTACGACCTGAAGGGTTGGGGGTATTTATAGCTCGTTGGAAAATTTTCCCACCGTACACGTGTAATCAACGAGCGGCTAGGATCTTCCCGAAGATCCGAAGCGTCGGAATATTTGAATATTCCGATGATAAATCCACCGCAGCGGTTATGTTTTCCCACGAATAGGAAGTCGCCACGTGTCCGAAGCGAATCGAATGAACTTCTCTGCCAGGTCGAGATCGGACCAGACAGAGAGGGTATTCTATGGATCACTTTCAATTTTGTTGCACTCTTTATAAATCCAACAATCCCATGAAGTGCTCATATATATTTATTTTTCAAAATAAAGCGGTTGATTGGTTAGTTTATGTTGGTATTAGACCAATCAATGGATCTAGAGGCCCCTTAATTTGCTACTATATATTTATAGTTTTAAGTATATTAACAAAATAAGCCTAAAAAAACAAGTATTTTGGTGGTTTGAGTCTCCTTGCCTTTTTTTTTTTTTTTGGTTAAAATTTATTACTTATTTGTATATATATGTATATTAAAAACATATATAAAACTTTTATGTGAATCCGAGCTCCGTCCAAAATTGAAAATTTTATTTATATAAATATGTTTAACTTTTGAAAAGGACAATACAATATTAGTAGAACTTTTCTTCCGACACTTTTGAATGCTGCAGCTACCACTTACTGTTTTGGACCTTTTTCCTTTTCTTTTTCTTTTTCTTTTTAAATCCTTTTCCTTTTCCATTTCCTTTTGTCTGTTTGATCCAATTATACCTTTCTTGTCTGTTTGATCCAATTATTGCGAACTTCAAAACTTATAAATTTTAGTTCATTTCATTTATGAATTTTTATAAATTATTGAAATTATTTTTACTCAATTCTAAATAAAGCTTCTCTAACAAAAATTCCAGATCCGCTACTAAATGTACCCTTAATTTTGCACCTTATAAAAGCAACACAAACTGATTTGGTACTCAAATTGACTCACCAATGTCGATTTTATAGATCTTTTAGGGCATATCAGTTATTCAAGTTCATGCACCTCTAAAATATATAATAATAATGATTGTTGATGTAGATTTCCGTCGAGCTCACAGGTCGGTCATGAGCTAACCGAAGTTAATTGTCGAAGTGCGACCTCAAGCGATAGTGGGACCTGTACAGGGAATAAACACTCTGACGCTCAAGTTAGAGTAAGCTCGATTATATTAAGCCTTTCTTGGACAGAATTGCATACCTAATACATGAGGTGACGTGTCTCTTTTATAGACAAGTGGAAAAGATAAGACTGTTGGAACCGTTTCGACCGTCTATTATAGTTGTCACTAGAAGGCATAAAACGGATCCTCTGTACCTGCCGACCTGATCCATATCGAACGTGAATGAACCGTGGGGGCCAACAAAAATAATATTTAATAATAATAAAAAAGATAGAACCGGATCCCGATTATCTAAAAAAAAAAAGGAAAAAAAATCCCTGAGTATCCGGTAATATTGAATAAATAAGCTAAAAGTCAGAAAGATAGTTATTAAAATGATTAATCAGGATCTCGAAGCTCTTAAAAATAATATTTAATTTCTCTAAAAAAATAATAAAAAATAAAAATCATATTTAATTTTCTAAGATCGTACAAAGTCGTGGGTGTCGATGGACAACTCAAGCATATCGTCATAAAAAAAATGTCTGGTATGAAATTAAGACTTAAAAAAGAAAAAAAATTTATATTTAATTTTTTAAGATCCTACAAAATCGTTGTTTGGGGGAAAGAATACCTGGACACGTGGAGGACAGCCATTGGTGCTCCAAGGTGACCCATGAGTCATGCCCCAGCTCGGACCGCCGAGATCACCACCACTAGCGTTGACAGATGCTAAGTATGAGGGCCGAGGTGAACCTGGCCGAGGTCCGATCTACCGGGAAGCTCGGTGGGGGCCGACGTGAGCTACTGTCAGCGGCGTGATTATCGGGTGTAACCGTCGGTCCCGAGATTACCGGGTGTAACCGTCGCGAGATTAGCGGGACTACCACCCATAAGTAGAGGACCTCACTCTACGATCAAGTACGATGATTTCTGACCTCGAACTAAATTGGGAATCCGACCTATACTGACTTGATCGTCGAAGTGCTCACCTTTTTGTGCAGGTCCGCCCAAATATTCAGATCGGTCCGGAGGCCGAGTTCGAGCTGCAATCAGAAGTACACTGTTGTGCATATCCTTGCATAAACAGTCGTCGATGGACAACTCAAGCATATCGTGGAGCACAATAAAAATTTAATAAACATAGACTTTTTTTATTATAAATTTTCAACTCATCAAATTGCATCTTAAATTCTGTTAAGAGTTGCAATCATTTCCTTACTCTACAGAAATATAATAACTTCATTACACTTTCGGTAAGCTTTCATTAAATAATGTCTGGTATGAAATTAAGACTTATAAAAAAAAATTATATTAGAGATTGTTTTTTTATTTGAATTTTATGAGTCTTGTCAAAGTTATTTAATAGTTGAAATTAGAACTAAGTTCTTCGTTAATCAAGCCCAATAATTCATAATTTCGATGATATCGTAGCCCCACAAATGAAATCTATAAACGAATCTAAGCTCGACACCCACAGAATTAAAGCATAAAGAAAAGTTATAAATGCGCAATCTCTCTTGTTCTCTGGAAAGTTACCAAAATAGTAGGCCACAAATTAAGGTCAAAAGGTATAATTAAAAGTAATTAACTACTTTGTTTTATATATATACTTTTTTTTGAGTAAAACAATTGGCGTTTTTCTTTTTATATATAA